CTGATAGTTTGGAATTGCCTGATGAAAAGGTTGTATCTGATGACTGTGGTAACCTGGTGTGGATGGATTCAATTCCCACAAAGGAATATTCTTTTTTTTTTTTTTTTTTTTTTTTTGAGGGAATTCAGGGCCTTGAGCTTCACATAATTGTGTTTGTCACCAACCTGTGACCGTCACAAACACAGTTACAGGTTGGGATTTGAAAGGAAAAGGGGGTTGTTTTGCAAGAAAAACCAAACATGTGAATCCTGCTGGTTGATAATTTCAATCAGTTGTTCTGATTTCTTGTTTTTTAAGAACCCTTTTATAAGGAATCCTGGGTCTGATGGAGTATCTGTGCCTTGTTCTCAGCAGCTGCTGCTCTTGCCCGGCCCTCGTTGCTGTTTTTCATCCTCAGCTGAGCTGCCAACTCCCCCTCATCAAGATTTCCTCTCTTCTCCCTTTTCTCCTTGCTCTCCCCCTTCCCAGTTCTCCCACCTCCCAAGCAAACCCAAATGTCAGCTCCTTTCTTTGTCACCACAGCTAAAACAAGTGACATCTCAGGCTCTCACTCCCGTTCTGGGCTCAGGGAGAGTGCTGGGTGGGATTGTGTGTCTGTGAGAGTTGGTTCTGGGGAAGAAAGATGAAGCAGAGCTGATTTATTGCATCACTGAGATTTAAGGTTTAATCTGGAAAAAAAATGGGGGTTCATCTCCATTCCCAGAGGGAGGTGCTGGTGGAAACACCGACGAGGTCTGATGTGAACATAAATGACCATCAGCTCCCAATGTTTAGGGATTCTCCCCAGACTGTCCCCAGGCACCAGCTCTGCTCTCAGAGGTGTCTGAAGGACGAGGTGATTTTTGTGGGTTATGTTTTAGGAAGTGTTTAAATTGGGAGCAGGTTTAAGCCAACAGCTGATGCTGCAGGAAAGGCAATCCATAACCCTGGGGGGGTTGCAGAGGACAGTGGGGTGGGAAATGAGCCCTTTAAAGCTGCTGTTTTCTGATGTTCACTTAAGTAAATTTAAATTTAATTTGGAAAGGGTGGTCAGGCCCTGGCAGGGGCTGCCCAGGGAGGTTTGGAGTGCCCAGCCCTGGAGGTGTCCAAGGCAGGCCTGGAGTGGCACTCAGTGCTCTGGGCTGGGGACAAGGTGGGGATGGGGCACAGGGGGATCCACGGGCTGGGAGGGCTTTTCCAACCTCCCTGACTCGCTGATTCTGGGAAGTTTAGGTTGGATATCAGGGAAAATATCTTCATGGAACAGGCTGGCACAGCTGCCCAGGGCAGGGGTGGATCCCCATCCCTGGAGGGATTCCAAAGCCCTGTGGATGTGGCACTTGGGGACAGGGGGCAGGGGTGGCCTTGGCTGTGCTGAGTGGGACTTGATGATCTTGGAGGGCTTTTCCAACCTAAATGATTCTGTGATTGGATGAGGCACAACCACCTTTTGCAACCCAAACTGTTTGTGTTTTTTTTTCCCCACTTTTCACACAGAAGGAAAATAAGTTTAATTTCCTTTCTCATCTTGGTCCACGGACCAAGATGTCCATTTCTGTTGCAGTTCCATTTCCAACTCTGTTTGTTCCCTCATTTCCAGACACCTTTATCTGAACTGCTTGTCACTCGGCCTAAAATCTGCATTTTTGCCCCCCAAAACCCCTCCCCTGAGGATTTTTGTAGCAGGAAGCGCAGCCAGGCTTTGTGTCACTGAAACACTTGAGGAGAAACATTTTCCTTCTGCCTTGATCAGCGGAGTTGGTGTCACCCCCTGACAGCACTCTGGGTGTGTTTTGGGAAGTCATTTCTCCTCAGCACTCCATTTCTCCCATGGATCTTGCAGGGGAGTGAAATGGGAAGAGATGGAGACGACGAGGAGCAGAAAATACCTGGAGAAAGGTTGTTATGAGAGGGTGAAAAAAGCGCCTCAATTTAACCTGCCTGGCTCTGACAGCGGCTTTGTCACTTTGAACTGTGCTTGTGTTGTGAAGAGTGAATTTAAAGCAGGAGATCCCTGTTTAACAGTCACTTTTGCCTCCCTCTGTTTAGACTCCAGGCTGAGTTTAATGACAGAAACACATTTTTGTTGCCATTTTGCCCCCTGAGGGAGACGAGTTGTTGTGGGAACTGGTGGATCCTGCTTTGCCACTGCTGCTCCTGATGAGGTGGAGCAGCTCCTGATCTCCATCCTCCTCCAGCATCCCACCCCAAACTGGGTGAAGGCATCACCTCTGGGTTCCAGGGGTTGGTGACACCCCCAAATTTGGGTAAAACTGGGTTGTGTTTTACGAACCTTACAGGTTGTGCCGGCAAAACTTGGGCTAGTAAAGGGGTTTTAGGGTCACTTTGGGGTTTTGCACCTCCTCAGATCTCCATCTCTTCCAACATTCCACCTCAAGCTGGGTGAAGGCATCAACTTCTGCATTCCAGGGGTTCATGATATCCACAAATTTGGGAAAACTGAGTTCTGAAAAGTTATGCAGGAAGTACTGGCAAAGCTTGGGTTAATAAATGTTTTTAAGGTCAGTTTGGGCTTTCCACATGCTCAGATCTCCCTCTCTTCCAACATTCCACCCCAAAGTGGGCGCAGGCATCACCACTGAGTTCCAAGGATTCAAGCCACCCCCAAATTTGGGTAAAACTGGCTTCTGAAAGGTTCTGCAGGGAGGACCAGCAAAACTTGGGCTGATAAATGGTTTTTAGGGTCAATTTGGGGTTTTACACCTCCTCAGATCTCTGTACTCCAGCATCCCACCCAAACTGGGTGCAGGCATCACCGCTGGGCTGCAGGGGTTGGTGACACCCCCAGATTTGGGTAAAGCTGGGTTCTCAAAGGTTGTGCCAGCAAAATTCGGGCTAATGAATGACTTTTTAGGATGAATTTGGTGTTTTACACCTTTGCACACCGAGGATGGAGCCGAATGTTGGGTGGTGAAGATCCAGCACCTGCTGACGTTTTGGGCCATGGAGCTGGGCCTGGTGGAGGGAACCAGGAGATTTCCCATCCCTGGGCTTTCCAGCACTCCCAGACAATTCCTTTGGCACCTGGACTGAGGGAAACTTCTGGGGCAGAAGATGTTCTGCATGAACATTTCGGGCTGAGCAAGTGGAAAATGGTTTCTAATCCATTTTATTGCTGCCTTAACTCGGCCTTTTATGTTGAAAATTGATCTGCCGTCGATTTTTGGTCCTTCCTGGGTGTTTTAAGAACGTTGATTGTTTTCCCCTGATTTTCCATTTGATCCTGCACATTTGCTGAGCTGGTCCCTTGAATTCTTGAGTGCATTTCTGTTATTTTAAAGAATAATGTGACTTTTCTCTATACTTTGTCAGTTCTCCAACATCTTCTTGGGGTCCCAGCCCAAGATTTTAGACCTGGACTTTTGATTTAGATTTTAAGGAATTGTCAGCTCAGATCCAGTTTTTCCCCTGTTATCACATGTTGAACTCTTTGTCAGTGGGAAGCCACTCCCTGTGTCCTGTCCCTCCATCCCTTGTCCCCAGTCTAATATGTATATTACATATTTTATATATATATATATATATATATATATATATTATATTATCACAAATAAGCTGTTTGCTTCAATTGCCTCGCTTTTCTCTAATAATACATATATTTTAAAGCTGAAAAGGCTACTTCTGTTGGCAGCCAAACACCATCCTGTAAAAATTCCTTATAGTAAAGAGAAGATAAATAGGTTATTATTTATTCAGATAGCATCTTAAAATTATTACATTTTAATACATGAATAAAATTCAATTAATATATTTTATATTGCTATATTTTGTTAATATTGACATATTTGTTAATATAATTTGTATTTTATTATTTGAAATACAGAAATATAAAAATAATATAAAACAGATACAACTCTTGGCAGTATCTAAATCAACTCTGCTATATTTTTGTGTCAATTCTATAACATCACCAGTTCCACAGATACTGGCAACACTTACACCACAGTAATTAATTTATATATTCCTTGGATAGGGCAACCCCTTTCCAGTGGAAACTTGTTGTGGGAGATGAAGGGAAGGAAGAAAATTCCCGGCTGTTCATTTAGTCCTTTGAAAAAAAAAAAGGGGGATGTTTTTGGGGAGTGTTGTTTGCTGTGACTCGGCCTCTGAAGGCCAAACCTGCTCTGGTTTCAAGGGCAGGAGAATTCATGTGGGTTTTGCATCTCAAAGCCTTTTGCAGGTGAGTCCTCTGGGCCAGAAGTTCCTGAGGAGAGGAAGGTTGGCCCCTTGTGGTTTTTTTGTGCGGGTTTTGGGATGTGGATTCCACTCAGGACCCAGAACTGGTGGAATTCCAGGTTGCCCAGAGAAGTTGTGGACTCCCTATCCCCATTCCAGGCCAGGCTGGACAGGGCTTGGAGCAAGCTGGGTTGGTGGAAGGTGTCCCTGCCCATGGGGCAATGAGAGGAGTTTTAGGGTCCTTTCCAACCCAAACAATTCCATGATCTTGGAGGTCTTTTCCCACCTTAACCATGGTTGGAAAAGTTTTGATGTGGAACTGAACGTCCCTTGTCCTGGTCACTGAACTGATGTGAACTGAAAGAGGAGGAGGAAGCTGGGAAGTTCGCTGGGAGGTCTGGAGCTTTTTTGTGAGATGGTTTAGCCCACAGAGTCCTGCAGGAGGGTTATCCATGTGTTATCCATGTGCATGTCCACCTCTCTTGGTCACAGTGAGGGCTGTTACTGGCATTTTTATGGGTTTGGAATTAAAAGTCTCCCTCTAAAAGGTCTTTGGAAAAATATTTCCCAGCGTGAAGGGAACTGTGATGGCTGTAAATGATATTAAAACACCACAAATCATGTATTTCAAGCAATACCTGTTCATAGTTTGGTGCAGTTTCAAGCCACTGAGTATTTGACTCCTTAAAATTTATATTTTCTGAGGTGTTTCCATAAAAAGTGGTTTTAAAAGGGTGCTCAGCTTGGTGGAGAGATCCACGAGACACCCTCCTCCCTCCCGCAGTCCTCAGGTAAATAACACTGTTTTCTGGTGCTTTGCTCAGATCAGGTGGACCAAAACAGCGGGAAGTGCCTCTGACAGATTCCAAGACTCGAGTGTCTTCAACGAGACCCTGCGGATCTCCAACATCCAGAGACACCAGGGGGGACGTTACTACTGCAAGGCCGAGAACGGCCTGGGCTCTCCCGCCATCAAATCCATCCGAGTGGACGTGTACTGTGAGTAAAACCTCGGCAATTCTCCAGTCCTGGTTTTTTTTTTATTTTGTTGTCGTTTCACTTGACTCGTGGTGTCACGACGAGGGAGCGGCTCTGGGGGAGCCCAATTTCCAGCGTTTTTCAGGGGGATTCTGCGGCTTCGGGGAATATTTATGGGAAGTTTGGTGGGTCTGTTCCTGCAGGGAAATGTCTTTGAATGAGTGACAATGTTTTGGTAAGATCGGATGGAACTCGGGTACGGCTCGACCCGCTGAGAAATCAGAGGAGGATCCGTCACAGGGGGAAGATTTGACATGGAGGGCTGGGTTGCAGTGAAAAATGTGGAGGGTTGGGAAAGCAGTGGAAAATATGGAGTGTTGGGATTGTTGTGAAAAATGTGGAGGGTTGGGAAAGCAGTGGAAAATATGGAGTGTTGGGATCACAGTGAAAAATATGAAGGGTTGGGATTGTTGTGAAAAATGTGGAGTGTTGGGATCACAGTGAAAAATACGGAATGTTGGGATCACAGGGAGAAATATGGAGTTTTGAGAGTGTGGCAAAAAATGGGATCACAGTGAGAAATAAGGAGTATTGGGATTGTGGTGAAAAACGTGGAATATTGGGATTGCAGGGAAAATATGGAGTATTGGGTTGCAGTGACAAATATGGAATGTTGGGTTGCAGTGAAAAATATGGAGTATTGGGATCACAGTGAAAAATGTGGAGTGTTGGGATTGGAGTGAAAAATGTGGAGTATTGGGATTGTGGCAAAAAATGGGATCACAGTGAGAAGTATGGAGTATTGGGATGGTGGTAAAAAGAAAAAAAAAAGGAGTATTGGGATTGCAGTGAAAAATATGGAGGATTGGGATTGTGTTGAAAAATGTGGAGTATTGGGATTGCAGGGAAAATATGGAGGATTGGGATTGCAGTAAAAAATATGGAGTATTCTGATTGTGGTAAAAAATGTGGAGTATTGGGATTGTGGTGAAAAATAGGAAGGATTTGGATAGCAATGAAAAATATGGAGTATTGGGATTGCAGTGAAAAATATGGAATGTTGGGTTGCAGTGAAAAATATGGAGTATTTGGATTGTGGCAAAAACATGGGATCACAGGGAGAAATAAGGAGTATTGAGATTGTGGTAAAAAATACGGAGTATTGGGTTGCAGTGAAAAATATGGAATATCGGGATTGTGATGAAAAATGTGGAGTACTGGGCTTGCAGTGAAAAATAGGAAGTATTAGGATTGCAGTGAAAAATATGAAGAATTTGGATTGCAGTTAAAAATATGGAGTATTGGGATCGCAGTTAAAAATACGGAATTTTGGGATTGCAGTGCAGTTGGGCACCAGAGCTGACAGAAAAAGAGGAAAGCACTGAAAAGCTCCTGCAATAAATGCATGAACTGGAATTAAAAAGGAAATAAATTCTGACTGCAGAGATTTTCCTCTCAGGTGGATTTCAGGGTGGGGGTTGATTTAGAGCCAATTTTTGTGGCCTGGTTCTGGGATTGGAATTCCCCCAGTTGGCTTTTGGGGGGTTCTCTTTGCCTGATGGGTGTGTTTGGCTTTCCTGATTTGCCTGAAAAGGGATAAAAGAGCAGAAAAGCAGGAAATTTTTTAGGAATAATGAGTGGATCAGGTGGTGATTGTTAATTAGCTTGTTCTTGGAGTCCCATCAATGAATTTTCAAGAGTCCATCTGGGCCAAGCAGGGTTTGGAACGGAGTGATGGCTTCAAGTTGAGAGAGGGCAGGGTTAGGTGGGATTTTGGGAAGGAATTCCTGGCTAGGAGGGTGGGGAGGGGCTGGGCTGGAATTCCCAGAGCAGCTGTGGCTGCCCCTGGATCCCTGGAAGTGTCCAAGGCCGGGTTGGGATCCCTGGGCTGGTGGAAGGTGGGGCAGGGGGTGGGACTGGATGATCCTTGAAGTCCAACCCAACCATCCTGTGATTCCATAATGCCCCAAAACCACTTCCCTCTCCCCTCAGCATTCCCATATTAGATCCTCCTCCATTCCTGATTCCAGGCATGGCTGGGCTGTTGGCAGCAAAGGCAGCAGAACCAAAACAGGAAGGGCTGGGAATGCTGGTTCTGAAATGTAGATTTTCCTCGAATTTCCCTGAGTTTTCCTTCTGGAACACATCCCTTTTCCCTCCTGTTTTGTTCAGCTCTAATTTGCTGTCTGGGATTTCTTCCAGGGTTATAATTCTGCTTTTTCCATCACGTTTTGCTCCTTAATGTGCCTCAAACCCAGCCCAGGTCTTTGTGGAAAAAGATGGAATTAAAAAATCCCCTGGAGCTCCCAGGAAAACTCCCAAGAAATCAAAGTATTCAAAACTGGAATTTCCAAGTAGCTTTAGGGAATTTTGTCCATTTTTTTTTTATTTTAGTTGGAATTTTCGGGTTTGATTTCTATTAATTTCTATTTATTGAATATTTGCTCTGTAAATCCCACGTTGTGTGTCCATGGCAAGAACTCCGAGCAGGAATTTTGGGAGGGGTTTGGAGTCTCTTTTGCTCAGAGACTCTGAAACAAAAAAAAACCATCCAAAGCCCTAAACCAACATTTTGTCTCTAATTGTGGTTTGTTTGTTTTACTGAACATTTATTGAGTGAAATTCCCTGGAAAAAGGCAGTTTTCTTCCAGAATTAGGCGACTGTCAAAAACAAATCTGTGGCAAACAGATGATGTTCCCTTTTGAAATTAAAACCATCATTGGAGCAAGGAAGAAATGGTTTGATTTCTTTGGAGGAAACTCTCAACTGCGTTTTAAGAAACAAGCAAAATGTTTCTGTTTCTTAAAATATATATTTTCAAAAAATCCAATTGGAAGCGTCTTGGCTCGTAAAGATCAAGAGAAAAAAAAAAAAAAACAATATCAAAGTTGTTTTCCGTGTTAGGTTTGGATCAAGAGCACTTCCTAAGGCCTAGAGGGAAATTTCAGCCTCCAGTTTAAGATTTGAAAAGGAATTATGGAAAGAAAAATCCACAGAAATTATTTTTTTTTGTTTTTGTTTTTGTTTTTTTTCCCCCTTTATTCATCCCCATTATTGACTTCCTGGCTGGTTGGGACGATTTAACAGCAACACATGGCCGGGAAATCTCCCTCTGCAGCAGTTTCCTGTTTTTCCTTCTCCACTCAGCTCTGGCTCTTGGCACCTGGAGCCACATTTGCTGCTTCTGCAAGGATTAATTTTACAAACACGGGCAGGGAAGGAGCCAGAGGGTTGGGCTGGGAGGGGAGAGGGGGCACTTACATCGGACATTCCCGAGAGATGAATAAATCAGAGAGCTCAAGGAAAATCCTTCAGGTGCAGCATTCCCATCAAGCTCCATTTCATCCTGGCACTGGCTGTGGGGATGCTTCAAGGGGCAGAGGGGATTCTGCTGGAATTCTGGGATGTGAGGGAGGTGGTGCTGTACCAGCTGCATCCAAAGCTCTCCTGGGCTGTGCTGAACCAGCCTGCAACCTCCTCTGATCCTGGAGCAGTTACAGAGCCAGGACAAGCCTGGGAAAATTTGGGGGTTGGGGTCAAAGTACCTGAAGGTGGAAAAGAGAAGAAAAAGAACAGGTGGTTCAGGTCTTGTTCCATCGACAGCTGCTCTTGGAAAGATTCTTATGGAAAGGTTCTTATGGAATCAGGGAGTGGTTTGGGTTGGAGGGACCTTAAAGCCCACCCAAGTTCCAACTCCTGCCATGGGCAGGGACACCTTCCACCAGCCCAGGGTGCTCCAACCTGGCCTTGGACACTTCCAGGGATCCAGGGGCAGCCACAGCTTCTCTGGGAATTCCATCCCAGCCCCTCCTCACCCTCCCAGCCAGCAATTCCTTCCCAATATCCCATCTATCCCTGCCCTCTGGCACTGGGAAGCCATTCCCTGTGTCCTGTCCCTCCATCCCTGGGATCTTTTCACCTCATCCCTTTGCTTTCTTTTTCTCATTTCTTTTTGGAAAGATCCTTTTGCTCTCAGGGGTGTCTGGACTGTGGTAAATGAATTAGCGATGATTTTTTTACAGCAGACAATTTTCTGTCCTCATTTCCTGTGTCTAAAACGTGTTCTGCTCCCCCAGCTCTGGCTGATAGTCCTTGTTCCTCACATCAGGTTCCAACAAATGCCCTCATTTCCCTTGGAATGGCATTCCCAGGAGGGAGGGTTCCATCCTCGCTGAGCCACCAGCACAAGGAACTGCTTCAGAAATCCGAGCTGAATTCATCCCAGACTTGAACTCTGTTTCTTTTCTCTGGAAGTGTCTCTTTAAAGTCCATCTCATCTTTCTTCTTTGAAGAAGAAGCTTTTATACTTGACTCCTAGAATTCTTTTTTTTTTTTTACCTGGCTTCTGGAGGACACTTTCTCCTTTTATAAGGAAGGAAAATAAGGTAGAAGTGAAGCATTTTCATTTAAAAAAGCAGAGTTCCTACAAGAAAGCTTTATCTGCTCATCCCCAAAGGACAATTTAGCATGTTTTAGCAAGAAAAAGTCCTAATTCTTTCAGTGAAGGTGTATTTTTGTATTCCTCTTGCTTTCCCACATCCTTATGGACACAAGGGCAGGCTGCACAGCTTGAGGAGAAGAAGGTGGGGCAAAAGGTCAGGTTGATGTTGAAAGAGTTCTGAAAATGATGTGGAAGTCAGGGAGAGAAAAAGTTTTATCCAAGAGATTTAGTGCACAGACAATATTATATATTTTTATTATTTTACTGTGTGGTAGAAAGCAGACCAAAGTGTGCTGAGAAAATCTCTCATTCCAGGATTAAAAGGTTGGTCTGGGGGTTGTGGGTAAACAACCACTCCTTTTGCTCAGAGATCCACTTAAATCTTGGTTTGCAGCTCCATTTCCAGGAAATGTCCCTGGTTTTTGGCTGCTCTTCCAATGCAGCAGCTTTAGGGCAAGCTGGGTCACAGCACCCACTTTATCCAGTGGTGGGAATATTGCCTGCACCAGTTCCAGTCCTCTGTGTGACACAAGTCCAGTTCTAGGGGGCAAAAAGCTCCTGCAGCCCCAAGATCTTCCT